CAGCTCACCACGCTCTACTCGGCCTTCATGGAGCTGGACACGGTGTCCCCGTCGTACCTGAGCAACACCCCCGGCTCCAAACCCATCGCGCTGATGTGAACCACAGCCCCGGCACCGCCCTGACCCACGGGAACAGGAATTTTATCTCTTTTTTCCCAGAACTCACCCGCAGGATATGTAGCTTTATCGTGATGGTTTTCTACAGACTGACATTAAAGCAAAAAAATAGAAAAAAATAATGTAAAATATTATTTAAAGAGAGTATGGTTAACAGCTGAACTTGTCAACACCGTTTTATCAAGGCACTCATCTTCTTCATCTTCCAGGAATAAGAAGCCACTCATCTTCTTCTTGACCTGCTTTTTCCTCTTTCTTTCTTTTTTTCTTTAACAAAAGCTGCTTGGAAATGAGCACAGAACTCACAGCACACAACAATTTAACTTATTTCTTGGAGCCACTGATGGCAACAACATCCACCACAGACCACTCAAAATATAAAATCTACCTATTAAAACATTCATAGTCCCCTTGAAAGAAGGGACCCATAGTCCCCCTGGGTTTTGGTAAATGTGAACTGAAAATTCTGCAAGTATTAGAAGACAGAGGACAAGCTGCTGACAGACAAAACCAAAGCAACAAATATGCTTCAGTGGAAAATATCCAAGTTTTACTGTATTTAAAAAGAAATTTTAAACTCTGCTTTTTTAATAAAAAAGAACAAAACTATTTAGTAGAATTTTTACTTGGCTGGAAATTATTCCCATTCATGCCTCTTATCTTTTACTACATAAGCATTAAAGTGAGTTATTAAGCCTTTTTTTTTTGATGGTAATAAAAAAGAAGAGAGAAATTGCAGTTGGCCAAATCCAGAGAGCATCTGTGTTTTAACTGATCCCTCCAGGGGGGTTTCTTGTGATGCTGAACAAAATCTTGCAGCAGGTTCCTACTGTGAGCTAAACTTCAGGCCAGTTTTTCAGGAACAACCTTCTCCCTCTGATTTTCCACAAAGCTGGAATTAAAAAAGTAGAAAAATAGAATAAAATAGAATAAAACAATTTTGGTTGAAGTGATGCAATATAAACCCAGAGTGAGCTGGAGAAAGGAAGTTAAAAATTGAATTGAGCACTATGGAAAATAGTCCAGAAACCCCCAAAAAATGGGGTTCCCTGGAGAAGCTGTGGCTGCCCCATCCTGGAAGTGCCCAAGGCCAGGTTGGACAGAGCTTGGGACAATTTGGGACAGTGGAAGGTGACCCTGCCCATGGCAGGGGGTGGCACTGGGTGACCTTCAATGTCCTTTCCAACCCAACCCATTGTGGGATTCTCTGATCTCCGTTCACAGACGGTGTAAACTCAGCCTAAACCAAGGAGGGTAAAACTTGAGTCAGCTTGGGTGATTGAGACCACGAAAAAGCAAGGATGGAACAAAGGAGATGGAATTGTTAAAATAAAGACACAGAGGTTAAATTGGCTGCTGTGTCCCAGCAAGGTGGGAGCTCTGCCCAAGCCAAGGCCTAAAGCTACACCCTCACCCTTTCCTACTAGTCCAGACTTAAAAAATCAGATTAGGGGCAGACGGATAAAGGGGACTTAGGAGGAGCACACGTGATGCAGCTTTGTAATCCCTCACGCAAGCACCAAGAAATCCTCACTTGACTCCGGCTCCTCTTCCTGCACAGAGAATAAGGAGCAGAAGAAATGCAGCCAGGAAAAAAAAAAAAACAGCAGGATGAGAGTTATGCAAACATATTAGAGCTGGGGGAATCAGGTTTTGGCCATCTTAAGGTTTGGATAAAGAGATGCAGAAAAAGTTAAGTATGACACGTTATTAGAAATGTGAATAATATGGTAAATCTAAAGCATATAGTGAGAATAAAGCTGCTAAACAATATATAAATATGGATATAAATAACTCTAACTCAAAATATAAATATAAATAATAAACATAAATTATAATATATAAATATAAATAGATATAGATATATAGAGAGATATAAATAACTCTAGATACAGATATAGATATAGATATAGATATATAAACAGAGATATACATTATAAATATAACTATAAATGTGTCTTTAAATATAAATATAAATATTACTTATGTTTATAAATATGTGAGTAATATATATACAATGTATATAAACACAGCATGTGTATATAAAACACTGTATATGAACAGGAAATTATATGTACATATAACATTATATGCACATATAAAATGCTATTTATAAGCAGTGTGCATGTATATATATAAAACACTAAATATATTAAAAACACAGTAGAAATACACACATATATATAAATACACACATATATATATTCAGTGCAATTTAAAATTCACCAACTTACAACTAAACACACAGTATTTACAGTTGGTATTATTAGAAGAATATTATTACCTTAGGTGCCTTTTTTAAAAAAACTTCACATTTTAGTCAAATAAATACACATTTTAATACAGACATGCATTGAGGAAAAGCAAAACCAAAGCAGCCCCTGCCCTGTGCTCAGGCACTGTTTTTGTACCCCTGTGGCTCTTGAACACACTGCTACTCTGATGCCTTAAAATACGTCACCATCACTCTTAAGCCAAAAATAATAATTGGTAAATATTGTTCTCTAAGAATACAGACACAGGTCTAGCTCAGGGTTCCCTCAGCTCTGTGTGTTTGTGAGCTCTGACTTCAACAGAAAATCCCAGTCTCAGACCAGGACTCCCAGTGCTGGGCAGGACCAGGTGTCCCAACCCTCCAAACCCCTCAAATTCATTTCAGCCTCTCCATTGGGAATTCTGCACACCTCCATCCTCAGGGAATTTCCACATAAAACTCTCCTTTTCAAAGCTTTTCTCTGCAAACAGCAAAGAGTTGGCACATGGATTTTCTGAAACATTTTCAGCACCCCAAGGGAGTGAGATGCTCAGTTCTCCATGACTTTCAGTCACTGTTTGCACCAAATTCTTGCTAAATCCTTTTTAAACTCCTTACAAATTCCCTGAGTGGCACACAGTGAACCACACCATGGCCAGAACAGCACAGGCCTTTGCAAGATATTCCTGACAGAATGAGCAGCATTGTCAGTGTTTTATATCTGGTAGAAGGAGACGAAAAAAAATAATGCATGAGAACAAACCAGAGGAAGTGAAGTGGGATGGCTCATTGCTCTAAAAACACAACAGAAATGTAATAAAATATTTATGATTAAGGCAAACCCATGGCAGGTGAAAAAAAATCCATCAAAACTGACAGTAGGAATCTGGACAACATCATCAAGCTGAGTTAAATATCTGTGAAACTCCAAATTCACAGATTTGAAAGCGAGAAAAGCAAACCTGCTTTTTCTGGGTCAAAGATTTATAATTTATGGGCACAACAACCCATCCATGATCTGTTAATTCCTGTGTGTCACTGTGTCCTCAGGCCCAGCCATTCCCTCAGGGGCACCAATACATTCCGTGCTTGTGACCACACACATGATCACAAGCTGGAGGGGGAGGAAGAAATAGAGAAGAAATCAAACCATCAGACTTTATTCTATTTTTTTTTTTTTTGTAATGAGACTTTGAAGAATGATCAGACATAAAGAACAAAAGGGGAAAAAAACACTTTAACATGTTTTTTCTTGTGCTTTCTGGAGTTTCTTGTATCCACACCAGAGGTTTGTGCTCCCTTTATGAAGTTCTTCATTCAAAACACCTAAAAGTATTTTCTCCAATGCATTCCATATTTAATGGAACTAAATTAATGGGTGGACATTTCACTGAAGTTATAAGAAAAGTCCTATAATAACTTTTATTTAAAAGAGTTCTGATTAAGATAAACAAACAAACAATGCTGCAAGTTATAACTAATATAAATTGTCTGGGTTTGGGTTTCCTTTCCTGCTCCACTTCAGGCTCCTACATCTGAAATTTTATTCTCTTGCTTCAGTTTAGCATTAGTGATTCTGGTAGACACAAAACCAACTCATTGAACTATGAGATCATGAGGAAAGAGTTATATTATAAATTACAATTCCAGAACAATTATAAAAAAAAAGTTTGAAATTATGTTTATTTAACTACTTTTATAAAAGTTTATATACAAGAATAACCCTCAGGTTGTGCAATCTTTATTTTTCACTTTTGAAATAACTTGACATATTGATAGCACATAAACATCTCCTTAGAGCTGGTGACACCTTATTTTGTACCTACCACAAAATCAGTATTTTGCACACATTGCAAATCTATTTCACATACATTAGCATTAAATTCCATTTTAAGCAGCACTCTGAAAAAAAGGGGGAGAAAGAAAGGAAAGAATGAAGTTTCCCCAGTCCAAGGCTAATGCTGTCTGCTTAATCAGCCTCTTCCAAAGAGATTATGCAAACCTGTCTAGGAAAAAAAATAACCTTAAGTGTAATTACCATAAAAATATCTTATTACCAAACAGAAGAAAGTGCTCACAGCTGCCCTCTCCAACATATGATTAGGAAAAATTTGTGCTCTAAAGTTTAGGATTTATTAGCTTAACCTTTTTTTTATTGCAGGTTTCATTTAAACTTCAAAACACTCAAATAACCATTTATATTGGAACTATATTTTGAAGCTCTTTTCTCTTCTCATGGGGCGAAATTATTACAAGACTTCTGCCTCCCATATTTGCATGTTCTTGGTGAGCATTCACTTGCTTTTGTTGAGATAGGAACTGATCTGAGGAGAATTCTCTCTGCACAATCTTTCAAACCCCTGGCACAGCACTGAGCTATTTAAACCCAGCAGTGATTAACTGGAATTGTGGAACAGATAAAACACTGAATATCACATCAGCTTTATTGCACACAAAGCCTCAGAAGTGCAACTGACTTACTGGCACTTTCAAACAAATTTAAACTGCTGGAATAAATATTTGGATTCCAGAATTTAGTTTACTGCTGCTGCTCCACTTCAAGCTTCCAGATTTGTGTGTAAATGTTTGTGTTTAGGCTATTGAATATCAAAGCCAGCAAACACTTTTACATGAGTTTTTCCTGACCTCCTAATTCATTTCCAGTCTCACACAAACAAACCCAAAACCCTCAGTAGTAGAAGATTAACTCTCTGGTTCACTGTGCATTCCCTCCCTGCAATGACATAAATGGAAATTTTAAAGCAGCATTTTCCATCTGTGGTCACAGCAAAAATTGAATTGAGAGCTACTAAAATAGTGAATGATGGAGTTGTCATAAAACAGAATTTAAATGC